GAAAGAAAGAAAGAAAGAAAGAAAGAAAGAAAGAAAGAAAGAAAGAAGGAAAGAAAAAAAGAAAGAAAGCCTTTCCTAAAGGAGCAAGTCGTTTATGTTGGAATTTGTGGCATCAGGAGGGAAGGCCTTGTGTCTGGAGAGTTGTGTCACACCGTGGGGGCTGGAGTTTAACCCTCCCTGATTTGGGGCCCACTTAAAGGAGCCAAAGGGCTTTCTGAAACCTGATGTTAGACTTCTGATATACCTGGGGTACTTCCAAGCAGATATTGCAGGAGACTGGCTTCCCCCCAGCTCACCCCTGCAGTTAGAAAGCCACTAGCCTCCCTAGCTGGTTGGCTGCTTTGTGTATTTACTGTATATTTTTTGTGCACTAAACACTCAACTTTCCTGAAGAAGAAATGTCTTCCGATGTTGAGCGGATGTTATTTCAGTGAGACATTTGGAGAGCAGCACCAAGGCATCCAGAATTTTTAGCGGCTTTGGGAAGAGGCTAAACTACCAGTAGCTTTGTTGGGCCTGGAGGAAATGTCTCTAAAGGAATCAAAGCATGCCTTCAGTTGGGTGCTGTGTTCTCAGCTGGCCCTGGAGATGGCTGGTTTCAGAGCCCTGCCTGGCTCTGGCTTGGAAGCTGATGGAATGAGCGTTTGTTGCAATTGTTCTTCCTCTCTGTCAGAGGAAGGTTTGGGACTTTGTTTTGGTGTGCGGTGGGGATGAGGTTGGGGGTTGGGGTCCGATATGTGCTATTCATACAGCTCCCGACTTCAGATTAAAGGTGCACTTCCCACCCATTTCCCAACACCCAGGAGCTGGACTTCCATGCTTTTGTGGGGGACATTATGTTTTTCATCTTCCCTGAGAGCTAGCCAGCTCTGTTTTCTGCTTTCGGAGTTTTGCTATTGGTTCCACCTCCCATCTCCCTTTCCGGAAGCACTGCCCCCTGCTGGTAGTACCGCTGAGGCCATGTTCATTTCATCCTCGCGTGTCCTTTCTCACGGGGACTAGAACACTGGTATGTCACCACCAAAAAGCCAGTCTGCTCTGGCTGCCCACAGATGCCATTTAAAACCTGCTGTCTCTTTATCACCAGGTACGATTCTCTCTCTAGTGGACACAACAAACTTGTTTTCAAGTCTGTGCTGGCCATGTGGTAGGCGAACCCTTCACCCCCGCATCGGGGTGGCTGCCAACTGCTTGTGAATGCAACTTTGCCGCTGGTAAATCTGAAAGCTGATCACAGTAATGAAATGGAATTGCAGCCCAAGGTTAGAAGCAGCTTAGACGCCACTTGGATACTGATTTGGACAACACGGAAGTCAGACTCTGAATTCCAAAGTTCTTTCTCCTAAATACCTAATGGCATCTTTCTTTCTAAAAAGTTGCAGTATTATGCAAATGACAGTGACCTCATTTTCTGCTATGCAATAAGAATACTTAATTCTCTTTCATGACAAACCAGTTGCAATATCCCCCAGCATGCTTTTTGAGCTCTCTTACTTTGATATCTGTTGTGTAATGTTTGTATATTCCTGAGCCAGATCCTTTCAAAGATTGCCTTTTTATAAAATTGAAGCTAAAGCTTTCAGGCTAAAATTTTAATGTAGATATTTTTATAAGATAATTTTTTAGGATATTTGAATTGATTTTTATTATCCATGATGATGAAATGTTCTGTTCCATTAGTCATTCACTATCATAGTTCATGGCTGTAGCTATTTTCCCTTTGTTTCCCACTCTCCAAAAACTGATTTTTCAGTAGTTCTCCAGAGATGAGTCTCTTTGACTTTGAGTCCTCTTTCTCAGACCATATTCAAGGGAGAGTGCCAGAAAACTCAGTCACTGGTGTTTATTGAATTGCTTAGGGACTAACGTTTAGCCTGACTTGGCAATTAGCCATCTAGATTCCCTGTCCACTTTTTGTGGAGTTGGCTTTCTCTGCAGGGGTGAGGCTGGTTGGCCCATCTCCTGGTGGCTGTCACTGCCTGGCATTAAGCTGGGAGCACTGTGGCATGGAGACGCTCCAGAGAAAGCCCTGCCCTCCAGTACATACTCCCAAGGGTTTCCTAGGTCCAGCAATCCAGTCCTCATTCTTTTCGATCTCCTCGTTCTTCTGAAGCTTCTACCAGCTAAAGGCCTTTGTTGCTGGATGATGTCCCTTTTGGAAGTAGCTTGTCTGTGAACTTTAAATGAGGGGTCACTCTTCATGATCTTTAAGAATGTGTTTAGCATATGCTTTACAGATGCTCACACTACACCTGAAACTTGTTTCTTGAGCTGTGTCTGTACTCCCAGGCTCTACTTTGTGTATTTATCTGCCATTAGCCTCATTAAAAAAAATCTTTATTTTTATTATTATCGGGACAGGTGCCATTTGAATTGCCTCCATGCTCCCCATTTGCACCTTGTTGGATCAGGTTGGGAGGTTGAGCAAACTCGTATTCTAAGCTGGAGTTTTTAAGGCTTTGTTTGCCTGGAGAAGCAAGGAGGTTGGAATGTATTATTATTTTTTTAAGTGTTTGCACTATTTAGAGTCCTAAGCCCCTCATGTTTAGCTGTGCTGTGTGTGCTGTGTGACCAAGCAGGTGAGCCAGCAGCACTTTGGACATTTGGGAATGGAAGAGACTTCTTCCATAGTGGATAATCACAACCTCGTAGCCCCTGCACAGCCTTTGTCATGGGTCTGAGTGACGTGTGGGTGTGGCATCAACCCAGGCAGGAATGCATGTGACTGTGGCATTTGAAGAAACAAATTGCCCTAGTACTATGTTCTTGCCTCTGCTTGAAATTGAAAATTATTTCCCCCCCTTTATGGTGGCAATAAAGGACCCTTGTTGGACTTCTTGTTTAATTTGTATATGACGTAGGAAATACTTCGAAAGAAGACTCAAGACACTGAATGTGTATGTCTGTGTGGGTGCTCTGTCCATGTGGTTGTCCATAGGCAGGCAGACTTGATGACTAACAGCCTGTTAACACATTGCATCCGTAAGGTCCTTGCTTTGGTATTCTCTGCTAGGATGTTAGAGACCATATATCTTGTAAAAGAACGCTCATCATGTGCTCCATCAGTTACAGTGATAGTTGAAGAAACTGTTACTCAAATGCATTATTTTAACAGGAATCAAGTTCTAGTTTCCCATACTCTATGTGACTTTAATTTTAATAAAATCTGAACTGTGAAAACTTTTCTCAGTATTTAATTTCTATAGTCCGGACTGTCCACTGTATCTCAGACATGAAAAGGACAGACTTATTCCCATGTATCTTCAGATGAGGCCCTTCTTCAGTGAGGCTCAGAGAGGCCAGTCCCTTCAGTAGGTGTTGGGTGGTGTGGGCAACTGTCCAGTGATATGTCAGGTGGGTGGGCTGGTCTCAGGCACAGGAAAGAGGAAACAGAGATTTGGCTACAAATAAACATCTATTTTTTAAAGTTTGTTATAAGACCTGGAGATTTTACAGGTGTTATGTTTTGATTATAAAGTATACGAATGTTAGTTATATTTTATTAAATTTGTACAACTTTTGAATGTTTATAAAATATCAACATATATGAAATAACAAAATTTATTTATTGAGTATTTATTATGTGCCAGACACTTTTCTTAGTGCTTGGCTTCTCTCAACGCATTTAATCCTCCTCATGGTCTTCTGAGTTGCTATTATTGTCTTCATTTCACCAACGAAAATATGAAATGCAGAGTGGTTAGGTAACTTGCATGAGGTAGCAGTGGTACAGAGGGATGGAGCAAGGATACTGGTTGCTGTCTGAGGTCGTGTCCTTAGTCCTCTGTTGCTACAGCCTTGAGGAGGTAATGAGGGGAAGAGGAGGTGCTAAGGAGCACCTAGGCGTCCTTGTGAAGTGCAAACATGGCTCGAGAAGAATACCGAAGCCCAACTTTTCTGGCCAGTTGGACCAACGATGTCCCCGTTTTCTATTAATGGTAAATAATCATATTTGTTAGTGTGATGATAGTAGCAGTAGCCACATCTGATGATGTACTTATTTTACACCAGACACTCTGCTAAATGCTTTAGAACTTGATCTTTAATCCCCGTGACAACCTCTGAGGGAGGTGGCGTTGCCTTTTGGAGGCTGGACATTTTCTGTCGGCTGCTCTGCCTTGCCCCTTTTCCAGCTCCTCCTCTTGAGTAACTGTGGTCACCAGGAGTCCAATCTGAAGAGTAAAAGAACCTGCTGAGCTGGGCTTCACCATATGGGAGGTGAGCCTGTTAGTAAGCGTGCCTAGAGGCTTGCCTTGGCTGCAGTTCTTAAATCCACCTCCTCAGGGACCTGGGCTCCCCTCTGGTTAACAAACTGTACAGTTGCAAGATCCTTCATCATGTGAGTGGTTCTGCCCAGTTCCAGGTGACTGATGGACAGCTCACAGGGGTCAGGCTCATCTCGAAGCTAGAGAGACCCAAGGGACAAGTGGCGGCCTCTTGGCCAGATCCCTCCCCAAATTTGGAAAAGTGGATTTTTAGCCCCCAGAGGACACGGCGTGCTAGACTTTGCATCTCCAGTGCCTGTCTCAGCACTCGGGAAATAGTCACAGGAGAGGAAGAAAGGCATGTGAGGAGTACTCAAATGGTGGCAAACAGCAGGTAGAGTATGGGGTGCCAATGGGAGCTGGGGTGGGGGAGGAGAGAGAAACATGGGCACCCAGAGAGAACGGGGGACAGACTCATAGACACTTGGGAAAGGGGTGTGAGATTCCCACCGAGCAAGAAGAGAATGAGACACACAAAGAGACAGGGAGAAACATCATGAGAAAGATGCCTGTATGTGCCCATGCACACGCACACGTGCACGCACACAGCCAGAGATGCCACTCATACAGAAATCCAGACGCAGAGACCCAGAGGGAGATGGAGTGAGAGGGAACCATTTCTTAAA